TAGCGTTGATTACTTTCCTTAGGCGATTTTTGATGTAGATTTATATCAGTCAGTAATGGAGCTTCTATCGGCAACTTCTCCTTTCGCAATCCCTATAGACTAAGTAACCTCATTCAAGCACACCTAAGATGGCGATCTTCAAGGAATTCACAGTTGCATAATAGCAATACATCACTGTCGACGGAAACTCACTTTTTCATACTAGTTCAAGCATTCATTATTCTAGAGAATAAGCTCATTCGGTGATAGTGGGTTCGAATCTCTCCACTGCCACCCATCTTTCTTATTTTCCGTATCTCTTCAAATGGTATTCGCTTGTCCTAATCTATCTTCCTGAAGATCCTCTGTGCAATAGTATGTCCAGTAAGGGTAAGAGTCAGTTTTTCATTTTAAAAACCTGTGATTCTATTTTGTGGTATCATCAGGCACACACTGTGTTCTAATTGTAACATAATCAACTTCAGCTTGACTCCTAATGTAAACCAACATTAGATCGGTGTTCTATTTTTCTTCTGTTGTACTTCCCTCCATTCCTCTTTTCTAGACACCCGTTTTCGAGTAACTTTACGTCTTACCGAGGGAAGTAAATTGTCCCCCGGTCTACAAGGCAGTTTACACGTGCAACACTGGCGTCTCTGTTTGATTGGGGAACCATCTGCCGGGTGTAAATTTATTTGCGCCTGGCGGTTGGACACCATCGACCAGGCGCATACCATGACCGCAGTTGGTGGTGGTGGCACGAGTGGCTTTCACTCCAGCATCTCGGGTACTGCTGGGACCGGTTTGGGTGATGCGTCCACCAGTGCTGGTATGACCACATCATCCGCGACTGCTAGCACAATCTCTGCTGGATCGCGTAGCTCGTTTGCCAGCGACAGTATAAGCACTAACACAAGTACGTCTGGGTCCCACCATCGAGTTTCACTTGGCAATTTATCTGTGGTCGGTGCGTCTGGTTTGTCCACGACCGGCACTGTAACGGGTTCAGCTGGTCGATGCGGGATCGGTACAACGGCCATCTCTACGGTGCGTCCAAAACACTTGCTAATCCTCGAGGCGAATCAATCAGCCGGAAAAGGTGAGTTAATTTGATGTGTTGTCTGTGTATCTACTTTATCGTAGCGACCGCAATCTAAACCCTGTTTCATGGTAACCGGTGCACCTATGAGCTCAAGCGCCACATTGAATCGGGATTGGTTTGTTTCGTGGTATATTACATGTAACCGTGGTAACCGAAATCCTGAATCCTCCTATCAGGGATTTTACAATCGAATCAGATGTGGTCTATGAATATTTCACATTCATATTCCATCTCCAACTCATAGTCCTATGGAAGTCAATTTCCCCATGGCTTATAAAACAGGCTTCTTGCTTTTTGTAGTGCTTATTCTCTAATAATTCGACCTCCTTGTTAGACTTAGCAGCAGCACTGAAAATATAGCCGAATTCAGTTCGCGTCAGCCATTCTCCTTTTTCATTTCTGGCTGATTTTTATCAAAAGCTTCGGTTTCATCAGCGAGAATTCGTGGACTGTTTTGATCTGATGCATCTAATTATCCTGCTTTCAATCCACTTCGACAGGTCGCGGTACCCATACTTTTGAATTGGATGGTGGATCACTCCCCGAACTGACCTTGGCTATAGAACAACTCATGGCACTACGTTACAACCCGCTCGGCCCAGTGGGTCGCACCCCGGTTCCGACTCAGTCGCATACTCAATTATGCATGCGTCCGGCTCCAAGCGAACAATTAAGTATGTTATCCGGCCAAGCTAGGGACAATGGAAACACCTCCATCCCTGATGCGAGTCAGTCCAAAGATGTCGGTTTGGCTTCTTCATCCTACTCTTCCGATGCCAGTGGTAGCCGCCATTCCATTTCCCCCGCGCAGCGTTTCTCTCTAATGATCAAATCTGGCGAACCTAACCTTTCTTCACCTCGAAGACACAGTCCTCTAACCATGGCTGCCCCAGCACCCTCACCCGGTACGGTTGCCGTTGCACCGCCAACAGCATCGACAACCACGGCTCCTGTTGATGTGACCCATCAATCAACTCGTTTCTACGGTCAGTCTGTACCGGTTACCGCTTCCAGTCGTTCTCAGTACTACAACCTATCCCGACCGTATTCAAATCTTATATCTTCCTCGTCCTCCTTGTCCCCACCTGAGGGTTTACCCGCTGGGTTACGAAAACATTTGGATAGCAATAAGTCCAAACGCTCTGTCCGTCGATCGGTTCCCGGTTTTCCGGATCAGTCTCGAACTGGCGCCGCTTTGTCTGGCACAGTCGGAATGCGATCCTCGGCCATGCACTTTGCACAACAACCTGGAGACTCGTTGATTGCTCGAAGTAAGTGATTTCTCGGTCCATGATATATTTCTTACTTTTAATTTTGATGATTTCTAGAATGTCTAACTCTAGTGTGTTGTATAAGTTCCGAGCTGATAGATTGGATTAGCTTTAATATGTCCGAGATATTTTCTGCAGATTCTGGATCCTCGGAGATCGTTTGTGTTGAACAAACCTACCCATGCTCAATCCTTGAGCACTTTTTGCCGCACAACTTGGTTCCATGTAACAAGCAACAACATTGCCTTACTACCTGATCCCATTGTACAAAAGGGATTTAAAAATCAACCGTTGACCCACCTATCGGGACTTCATGAATTTGTCTTTCGTTTAGTCCTGCCATAAGCTGGTTGCAAACTGACGCTATTGTTTAGCTTCCATAGATTGTGATAGCTCGGGTAGATTCCGCATGTTGCTGTATAGACTTGGCGTGTGATGTTCGCTGCGACAAGCAGTAGTTGGGCAATAACCAGGAATTATCTTGCACGCGGGACTCCCCCATTTAGATTTCTAAACTCATCGATTGCGATCATCTTGACCATCCTCATCGTTGGTTAGAGACTTTAGGTGATATGGCTGGACGTCCTAAGCGGTAACGCCCATGCTCCTATTCTTTTTTACATAAATTTGGTTCAGTTGTATTCTTTATTACTATCTTGGTGCCACTCCCTCAGTTTTTATTCTTTCATTGATTGATCAAACGGGTGGCCAAACGTAGGTAAGCAAAATGGTCACACGAGAATGCTAATTTAGTGATTGTGTCCGTTCATTCAGCTCGTACTGAGGCCCGTACCACTGATTTCCCTGCTTTACTTTTTGGCTTATTCCTGATACCTCTTGGTTGATATGACTCACATGGTCATTGCTTCTGATGTTCTTTTCACTCCATTTTCAGGTGCTAGTCCACAGGAGAGTGAATCACTTCTGACCGATGAAGTGGAGCGGAATTTGTCCCAATCCGTATTTGTCAGCTCCCAGTTCGGTCGTGGTTGTACTGGATTTCCGCCACATTCACAATTCATGCAGCCGATCTGGAGTGGTGGTGGTAGCAGTAGTCGACGCTCGGACGACATCTATACTTCTGGAAGACCTGGAGCCGGTTACGGAGNCGGAGATTTATCCGATGGCATCCTGCTTCTGGGTGAGGAACATCAACCGAACGTGGCTCATGTGGCCTCCGGAGTGATCATTTCAAAAAATCCACTGAATCCGCATTCAATGGCTCGGTCCTCTGTCGGACCGTGCGGAAACGGAAGTAGCCGGCGCCATACTGCTACCACTGCCGCACCGCCTCTCCCACCTCCTTTGAAAGACTCAGCTCGCGCCAGACATGAAGCTCGTACCTCGCAACTGTACCAAACATTACCAGCCAACATCCCGTCAACTGACACGCCTGTAGTTAACGGACCCCATGTACTTGATGAAATTGATGGTGAAGATCCCAGTTCGGGAACTCAGAAATCTCTTCCTCGCTCCTGTCGCCGACATCAAGCGACTGGCGGTGTATCGTATCACCATTGCCATCGCCATCATCAACAACAGTCAAATGCTTCTCGTCGCTTGGCGCCACTTACCAATGATTCTTCGACAGTTCCATC